CTTTTAATACAATAGTATCATCTGAATCATAATCAAATGTTTTTTTTTTATTTTTCTTCAATTTTTCTGCAGATAACCATGCCTCTTTATCAACTAAAACAAGATCACATTCACTCTCCTTTTCATTTTTTATATTTTCATTTGACAAATTTAAAGAATTTTTATCAGTTTCATTATTTTTCTCTTTCCATTCAAGAGCTGAAACATCTTGAAATAAATTTGCTAAATTTGTATTATAATCATCATCAACTTCAAATTTTTTTTGATATTCTTTAGTTATTGTTTTATTATCTGAATATTTTTTTTCTGATTTTAATTCGTTTGTACATTGTTTTATTAACATTATTGAATCATTAAATTCATTTTGCATAAATTCTTTCTCTGGCTGCTTTTTTTTGTCAACTACTTCTTTAATAAAATCAGCAGGAGTATCTGTAATAAAAATATGACTTTTAATTAAATTAATTATATTGGCTTCATTTATTAATTATTATTCTCTAGAAACATATAAATATTCAAGAATTTTGATAAATTTCTCATACATAAGAATGAATTAAACTTACCAATATTATTTAAATGCTCTTCATATATATTGCTATCACATTTATTTGTTGAAAATGGCAGTTCATTTTTTTGTATAGGTTTAAAAGAATTTTTTGAATCTAAAATTTGATATAATGTTATAAGATTAGAATTTTTAAGATTTAAATATATCTTAAAATTTGTAAAATTTTTAAATACAATATACCTGATTGTATATTTTCATTAATATCAGATAATGTACGATTTAAAGTTATTCTAGAAAGTTTCATTGATTCTTCTTTTTCTTTTGTAACAGTTATTTCTGAAGGTATTAATAAAGATTGTCTTTTTGTTTTAATAGATGTTTTTATTAATTCATTGTTTTGTTTTTCTGTTAGTTTATCAGATGTAGTTTCAGATTCCACAGAACTAGCTCTTATATTATGTGCGTTTCTTATTGATGGTGAATTTGTTTTTGATTCAACTCTTACAAAATGTTTACTAAAAAAAAAAAAAAATAATAGTGAATAAATGAAATAAAATTTAATTGTACAAATAATTCATTATTATATATACCTTCTTCGATTATCTGTCATTTTATTATTATTAGAAGGATTATTTCTAGTTTTCTTTGTTGGTGTACTAATATCTGATGATATAGTATTTGTTCTAGAACGTAAGTTTCTTTGATTTTCAATGGAAATAGTATTATCAATAGTAGTTATTTGTTGTCTTGAAATTTGTGTATTACTAACATCATTTAGAGACAATTCAGGTGAAGAATCATTTTTTTTAAGGTTTTGTTTAATTCTTGAACTTCTACGAAGTGGTGAATAAAGCGATACTGTTTCGATAAAACCTCGAGTCTTGTCATCTAAAAATTTAAAAAAAAAATTTTAAAAAGTGAAATAATAGAATAAATTTTAAAAAATATTAATTATGTTTGAAAAAGATTTAAAATAAAAATTTATATCAAATCATATTGCATAATTGATAAAAATATAACCATTGTTCAAATCAACCGTTATATTTAGTAATTAAATAAATCATATGTATATATAAAAATACGAACCATACTTTGCAACCATTTCATTAATTGATTTTCGTGGCATTTTTCGTTATTAAAAATTTGTATAAAAATTAACAATAACTTAATAAATAGTTTCACTAACACGTGTTATAACCAATGAATTTAAATTAACGACTTAAATTACATCTTTACTACGTTATGGAATAAACATTCAGAGACATCAAGCGATGAAATTTAGCGGCATTTAATTTATTTTCAAAAGATCATACATTAAAAAGATTTTCTTTAAAAAAATATATAAATATAATAAATATAATTTTCTATAATTTAATTTAAAATTATTATTATATTAATTTAAAAATTAATATTATGTGAAAAAATAGAAATTTATAATGTGTTAAAAAGAAACAAAAGCTATAATTTTGCATAAATTATTTCGTAATTATTTTCAAAATTATAATAAATAAATTGAAAAATAAATTAAAGAATTGATAAAAATTTATTAAATAAAATGAACAATCAAAAGAAAATGAAAAAATATTGGTTTAATTTTAAAATTATAAATTCATATATGATTTGTTTGAAAGCAATATTTAAAAATAATAATAAATAATTTTGTAAATAAAATTTCATTTATATGTAATATTTGCAATGTTATATATTACATTAAAATATATTAATTTTTATGTATTTAATAAATAAAATATATAATTTCCATAAAAAGTATTTTGAAAAAAAATTTAATATTGAGTTTTCTACATAGAAAGAGCCCGGCTAGCTCAGTCGGTAGAGCATGAGACTCTTAATCTCAGGGTCGTGGGTTCGAGCCCCACGTTGGGCGATTTTTTTTCTTTATTATTTAGGGATAAAGAAAATTTTAATAAGAATATCAAATAAAGTTAATATAGTAATTAAAATATATATAATTAAATATACATAGAATACAATATATCCAAGATTATTAGTTATAGGTTTGAATGAAATTAAATTATTTACAAATGTTGAAGCAACACACAATAGTTTTTTAATAATTTTTTTTTCATTTCTACATGAGTTAATTAAATAAAGAAATATTTTTTCTAGTCCTAATTTTTGAAATATTCTAAAAAATATATTAAAACAACATATATTAGAAATATTTCAAATTTTAAATGTTTTCATTTTTTCAACATGAATTATAATAGATAAAAATTATTTTTTCAGAATTACCTTAATTATAAATTTTATAAAAATATGTAGATTAAATATTTTCTCTTATAAATAAAAATGATTTCATATATTTTTGCAATACAATAATACATATAATTAAGATTTCAAAAAATAATTCCTATTCAAAAATTGCCAATTATTTTTTGCTATCAAGATTTATACATTACCTTTATATATAAAATGAAAATATTATATATATATATATATATATATATATGTGATGTTTTATTTATTATATATATGAACAATAAAATATAATAATACATTCATAATAAAAATTATACAACCAACATCATTTCTAAAAAATGTAAATGAAATTAATATATAAATAAAGAAAACAAAAAATAAAAAAAATAGAGATAAAAATTCACCATTAATGCTTGAATATTGAAAACATTTTTTCAAATGCAAGATAGAATAGGAATTAAGGATTAACGCCATCTCTTGAATGAATGATATCTTTTCAAAAAATCATTTTTTTAAAAACAAAGATAGTTCTAACAATCAATTTTTATTTTATTTATATTCTTTTCTTACTATTTGCTCTTTTTGGTTTCTTATGTTTTATTTGCGAGATTCTGAAGATGGTATTGATTATATAATTTTTATTTTTATCTTTTTCCTACTCTTTGTTCTTTTTGTCTACTTACTTATCTACTACTTAAGTATATAATTATAGGAGAAATATAGAATATCAATTGAACATATTATTTTCAAAAATTATAATGAATCTTATTTCATATATTTATTAAATATTCAATAACAGAATATTTGTTCCATTTCTTATTTATCTATATATCGAAAATTAGTTTCAATCTCAATCATTATATGTTATAATCTTATTTTGAATTGTATTGACAATAATTAAAATGATAATTGATCAAAATATATTATATCATATTTAAATAATTAATTTAAATAAGAATTTAAAAAATTAAAAACATTAATTTATCTTAATCTTCATTATTTTTAAGGAATATATTATTTAGCTTATATAACATACTTCTTTAAATGTATCAATAATATTATTTTGTACATGTATAAAAATAATTTAATCTCCAATAAAAGATTTGATAGTTCAGCAATTTTTGTCAAACGATAATTTAATTTAAAACATATGAAATTAATGAAGAATATCAGTTTTGTTTCTAATATTTTTTCTATCATTGGATAATGTTATAGTACAATATGGATGAATATATGTAATATATATTTACGTTAATATTAATACATGAAATAATTAACTATAACTATTAACTATAAATAATTAATAACTATATATATATATATATATATATAACTATAATTTTAACTATGCCATTATAATGAAATATGGAAATATACCGAAGAATGTTAAATTTAATTACATCGATTCTAATTATTTTTTTATTAAATTAATTCTTTTTATATAAACATTATATGTTATTATACTATATTTGAAAAAATATTATAATAAACATAATAAAATTAGAATTTATCAAAAAAACGATCATCCATATCGTTTTACTTATCACAATTTAATTTACAATAATGAATCGATTGTAATAAAATAAGCAAAAACTAAATGCGCTTGTATTATATTTAACAGCCATATTTTATGTTACAAAATTTACATTATTTCATATGAATAATAAATTACACATAATTGCAAACATCTATATACAATTAATAATAAACTAATAATTGATCGCCATTAAAAATATAGATAAAATGATTTTTATTTTTAATTTTATGAAATCATAATGAAAATAATAGATATATAAGCTGTTAGATTGTTAAAATAAAATGATTAAAAATAAAATGATTTTAGAAAGGTAAACAATTACATTAATTATGAAATTAACACATGATATGTTATATATTTTTATCATTTTTATAAGTAATAAAAACAAATTATTTTTTTAATTATTCTAATTTAAAAGATAATATTTTAAAATTTATAAAAAAAAATTATATTATTTTATGAATCCATGCAATGAAATTTAATGAAATATGTAATTAACAAAAAACTTTAGTCTTTTGTTTTTTTAAATACTTCAGTAAATAACCAAGTTATCGAAAATTTCTACCTAAAATTTTATTTCGAAATGAAACTTTTTTTTTCTTTTTAATTTTTTGAATATCGACGACATCAAAATAAGTCGTACTTCCAGAATTACTTGGTAAACTAAAATCTTGTTCTACAAGTATTTTTCTTTTTTTATTAGCATTAGATTCATGAGTTTCTAAATATTTTCTTTTTTGTATCATGTTATATGTTAAAGCATTTTCTAATAATCTTTGTTTTTTCTGTGGTATTTTCTCTAAAATTTCTTTTTTATCTTGAGAAGTAATATCTTTTAATAATTTCTGTTTTCTTTTTTTTTCCTTAATTAATTGCTCATTTGAAACATTATTCAATATATCTGAGAATTTTTTCTGTTTTATTTTAGTCATTCCTTTTATATCTGTAATATTTGAAATATCGTGAATTGCGCTTTCTATTTTTTTTTTCTTTTTCAGTTTATTATATATTTTTTCATCATGACTTTTTGATATTGTTTCGATAACATTTTCTAATATTGGCTTTCTCATTTGTACATCAATATCATATGTTTTCTGTTTCTTCTTTTTTTTAGATAATTGCTCATTTAAAGTATTATTCGGTAAAATATCTGATATTTTTTTCTTCTTTACTATTTTAGTATTTTTATTTGTATCTGATGGATTTAAAACATTTTCATTTGTGTTTTCTCTTTTCTTTTTTCTTTTTTCTTTTTCTTCAGAATGTATTTTTCCATCTAAACATTCTGCTTTTGTTTCAATAGTGTTTCCAAATATTTGTTTTAATTGTACATCAGTATCATATGCTTTCTTTTTCTTATTTTTTTTAGATAATTGCTCATTTGAAATATTATTATTTAATAGAATATCTAAAACCTTTTTTTTCTTTTTCGTTATGTTAGTCTCCTCATTTGTTAAATTTGAAATATTTTCAATTGTATTTTCTTTTTTCTTTTTCTTTTTTGTTTCATTATATATTTTTTCATCATAATTTTCCGATCGAATATTTTCAAATATCTTCTCTTTTATTTGTACATCAATATTACATGTTTCTTTTTTCTTCTTTTTTTTACGTGATTGCTCATTTGACATGTCATCACATATTGAAAAAACATCTGAAGCTTTCTTTTTTTTCTTTACTATGTTAGTTTTTTCATTTGTATTTATCAAATTTGAAACTTCTTCAATTATTTTTTCTTTCTTCTTTTTCTTTTTTACTTCATTATGTATATTTTTATCAAGATTGTCTGGTTTTGTTTCAAGAATGTTTTCAAATATTTGATGTTCCATTTGAACATTATTTTCATACATTTTTTTTTTCTTTTTTTTTATCTTATTTACTTTTCCTATTTCATTATCATTATCATCATTAGTATTAATAAAAGGAACAATTTGTTTTGTTCTCTTTAACATATCTGTATTTTTATTCAATTGGAAATCACTTTCAATTAATATAGGATCAATTGTTTCTTGTATTGTTGATTGTTTCTGTTTTTTTCGTTTTTTTCTACGATCATTTTCTAATATATTGTTTGCCACATTAAATAATTTCTTTTTTAACGAATCATCTACTTCTTTAGATATTTTTTTATTTTTTTCATTGTCGTCTTCATTTTCTTTTTCA